CCTACCTCCACCTGCCTCTGACCAGGAGCAGGGTAAAGAGTCCGGCCTTCCCCTCCCCAGGGTATTTCAAACCTCTGGCTGGGGAGGCGTGGTCCAAGTTGTTGGTCAACCCCATAGGCTGAATTAAGCCCACCTGGGCCTAGTTTGGGCCGGCCAGGTATACTGCCCACCTGGCTGAGGGTTTGAATTGGAGTATGCCCAGTGAAGGGGCCCTCATAGGTGTCTAATGCTTGCCTGATTCCTTCCGAACTTCCTCAGGGGAGAGACAAGCCGCTGTCTGAAGCTACCTAACATCACGACTTACCTCTTTAGTAAAGATGGCCAGCAGAAGGATCGTTGGGTAGAATGGAGTTTTCATGCCTGATCATTTGAGGTGGTGGCTATATCCCTTCCCACCATGGTTGTACAGTTACGCTATTGTCCTTGATGGTCTTTTGCTAAAGATGTTAACAGGAAAGTAAAGATGTCCCTAACACCAAGTGTAGTATAAATTCCAGATCCGAGACGGTCTGTTGTTACTAGTTCAGGAAGGGACCCTTCCTGAAAGGGCTGGGAGGCCACCCATGGTTAATGCTCACCTTGAGGTGAACTTAGTAGGTCTAAGCATTCCACTAGACTAATTCCTCAACAGCCCTAGCAGGTAATTATCCTCACTTGGCAGAGGAGGAAACGCAAGAACAGAGAAGCACACTCTTCAAGGTCGGATAGCTGAGCGAGGAGCAGTCAAGCCGACCATTTGCCTGGGAGCACCTGCTTCAGACAGGGAGGGAGGCTTGAGAGCGGGTGTTGGGCGGGAAGGCAGCAAGGCATTAGTAGGGGCAGGAACAAAAGCACCTTCTTAGTACATTGCATATGAATCTGCATAGCTCATACCCTACTGCCCACCCTGCTTCCCACGCCAAGGTTGGAGGCATTCCACGTCCCCTTTCTCCTGCAAGCCCTCACTCCTTTCTTCTTAAGGAAACACGATCTCTGTGATCTTCTTACCCCACTCCCACCTCCCATCCCCACCCCATCCAACCTCGAAGAATTCCTCCATCAGGTCAGATGTTGCTTAGAGAACTCCAGCAGCCTCTCTCTGGTCTTTTCTTCTCACAGGGGTCAGTCAGTTCAGTTCCTCACAAACTTCACTTTCTGATATGCAAACCTCTGGTGAGTTGTGCAAGGTCACACAGGGTCAAACAGCAAAGCCAGAAATCAAAGGCATGCTAGCGGGCTCCCAAGTTGGTGCTTGATCTTCTGCTTAAGGGGGAAAAGAGGAGGAAATGGGCTTGGACGCAGATTCTCTAAAGAGCGTTCATCAAACCTGGGCGGACACTGCCTGCAGCTTCACACGTTGTCTGGAGACACTGGAGCCATAATGAACACCTTTAGGGAAAGGTGGTGTTCGGTTTAAGAAAGGAACAGAAAAACATAGAAGTGCAGGATTTACCATTAACATCACAAAAGTCAACTGAAATAATTGATTTGTGATCGTCCTGAGCTGGTTTATAGTCGTGAACCCAGCACAAGCCACAGAGTGGGAATCAGCCTGCTGTCAAACCTAAAGGAAGCAAAGCAAAAGGCTGCAGCCACCACAACTGTCTTGGGCATAAGCAAATCCCGGTCTCGGGAGAAGTTATTGAAAAAGGAGTTAGAAGAATGCACAAGGCTTGTATCCACCATCAGAGTCCACAGTTCAAATAGATGCTAGGCCTGTGGCTTGACGTACCGGAGAATGGAAGCCAACCAACCAAAGCTGAGAAATGGATCAGACAACCTGGCCGTAGACCTAGACACAGCACGGCATTTGCTGTTGTCTGGGAATTCCAGTAACCAAGATATCTTTTTACCTGGGACGGTTCAAGCATGGGAACGGAAGGTGGAGGGCAGGCGGACCCCAGGAGCTCCAATCCTACCTTCTATCATTACAGTCTTTGAGCACAGAGGTAAAAATGCCTGTTGTAAAGGGTGGCTCATTGACCTTTGAACTTCTTAAATATTCAGGGCACGGTTCTCCTTGTATGATGGCTCACACTAGCCAAGCAGCCCCCAAATAATTGTATAATTCAGGGTCCTCTGAAATGTTCACTCTTCCATCTGTGCTGCCCAAGCAACAACATAGAACCTGTTGAATCCGAAAGTGAGGCAGGGCAGCTGGTTTCAGTAAACCTCTTCCTTTCTGTGGCACAGAGAAAAGAGTCAGTCAAATCAGGAATGTGAGTAAAATCACCTTGCTCAGGTGTTTCATTTCAACAAGTGTTTTTTTAAACTCCCTTCTTCCTGCTAGATTTTCATCATCTTGGATCTTTCTCGTTTACAAGTATAGAATGCACAATTGCTTCTATTTTAAGGCTCTGTTTTAAGGCAAAGAAAACACAGTCTTTAGAAATACACAAAACCTCCTTCGGCCAGGAGCGGTGCAGCTGGGGTCTAAGTCACAGTGCCGCCGCCCGTGGTGAGCCTGTTTCTAGTTTCAGGTGGGCTCTTGGCTACTTGGGAGGTAACTTCCAATACCGGAACGGCCCAGAAACACATTCTGTAAAGATGTCACGTATGTATCTCACCGGCTCGGCTGGATGGACATTTTCTTCTCGATGAAGTCTGAAAGCTAACACGATGGGGAAGCTGGTGCCAGGCCGGGCAGGGTTTCATTCTGCTGAGTGGGAACCAACTGCTCGGGACCTCACGACAATCAGGCGTAGAAATCCGCCCAACATGATTCTGTGGACGCGATTTCAGCAGGTGAAAACAATTCATTTCTGCCCGTTTCTCACGGGGAAGCATCAGTCCTTCTATTCCTCTTTTTTCTCAGCTTGGACATTAGGATGTCCGTGAATACCCTCCTTTTAGCCAATAGAAGCCTAAAGCAAAATGTTCAGCCGCTGTCCCGAGGAGTGAACGATGTTGCTGTGCCCGCGTGGGGGGCGACGGGTGGGCTGCAGGAAGCATGCTCCGTGGGTGAGGCAGTTCCCCTCCCAAAATGCTCTTCCAAACCAGAGAGCGACAAGAAGGGGCTCGGGAGGCGGCTGGCCCTGCATCACTTGGGCAGCTTTCCATAACGCACAGTAAATAACCTTTTCCAAGGGTTGTTGACTTCGCTGTTTCTCACAAGGATTCAGACTAAGAACAAGAGACACTCACCCCCCTCCCGCCCATCCGGAAGAGGGTTACACAAGGCCACAGGCAACACGTTCCTGGAGAAGATGTCCACTCAGTGGGAGCCTGTAGCCCAGGTTTCCATCATCCAGGGCGGCGATGGGACCCAGAAATCAGAGAAACAGAAACATCACATACACAGACCAAGGCTTGCTCGGGAATGCTTTAATCACATGTAAAAATGGCATGTTCATGTATCCAAAAAAAAGCCTCCAAATTCTTTTATCTTCATCAACATCAACAATCTGGAAATGAAAGGTTGCCCCGATACCACACCCTCCGGCTCTTAACACTGTGTGTTATGAGGATGTTTATAACCCTAAGGTGGATGCCACCAGAGTGGATGAAAACATAAGAGCCACTAGGGCTGGGGACACTTCGATGCCAGATTTCTAAAACCACTTCTCCGTTCAGCAGGAATGACCCCTCGTCACGCCTCCCGTCCACACTCTGGAGCAGACAGGAAGAAAAGATCGCAAACAGCTGGGTCCAGTGTTGTTGTATACTGGTGACAATGATCTTCAACTCAATCTACTGAAACAAGATCCAGGGAGAGAATTTCAACATCGATTGGTACACTACCTCACTGTAAAGAACGTATCCGAGTCAGTTTGGGTTTTCATTTTAATAGCAGCGGAGTTGGCAGTACACTTTCAGGCAAAAGGACGCGCAGTACAGTCTTGGACGAGGATGACTGCACACACTCCACCAAGATGTTAGGCACATGGCAGTCAGAGTGCAGTGCGGTCCACAGAGGTGGCCTCGCAAATACTCAACTCTGGCCTCTTGGCCATCTGGAGCGAAGCTGTCTGGAACAAGAATAACCTTAAAACGCCACCACGGTTATCCCATTCAAGCCATGGGGAAGTGTTCCTGTTAAGTGGGTAGGGGGTGGGGTGGCATAGGATGTAGGTCGAGGGGGAGGCGCTTAAGACATTCAAAGGGAGTGAGGGAGACTCATTGAACATGTTTTGGAATGCAAGTAACAAGACAGAGCACTTTTTTTTTCAGAATCTGAATTCCTGATCTCTCTAGCACGGTGTGTGCGTACGTCTTGGGCAGGGCTGTGTGCTGACCCTCTCAAGGTAGCCTGCTGATACTTCCTCCAGATGTTTTCTGGGAGAATTGGTGAACTTTCTTTGTAAACATTCTTTCAAAAGGCTTGTTCTTTCTAAACCAGCGGTTCTCAACCTGTCGGTTGTGACCCTTTTGGGGGTCGAAGGACCCTTTCACAGGGGTCACCTGACTCATAACAGTAGCAAAGTGACAGTGATGAAGTAGCAAAGAAAATAATGTTATGGCTGAGGGGGTCACCACCACATGAGGAACTGGATGAAAGGGTCACGGCACGAGGAAGGTGGAGAACCACTGCTCTAAACAGTTGCCACACGTGGTATGAGCAGGCTGGCAGGCTACACATCTGACTTGTGCAACGGCGGCTGCCTCTTTGCTTCACAGTTCTGTTCATGCAGTTCCCCGTGTCCCACTTCCGTCTACCTGCACAGTGACAGGTGGCCTACTGACAATGAAGAGCTGGGGACACGTGACCCTTGGAGAACAGCCTCCCAGATCTCATGCCTTAACTCTCTCTCTCTATGCTTTCTGAAAGCCTTCTTGATTCACACTACAGACCTGGCCAATCTCCGCGAGAACAAGAGACACATAATAGGGCTTTTCTAGGGAAGTCAAATGATGTTCACTCAATAGCCACCAAACCTGGGCAAGAATAATGGAGAAAGAATTCAGTGATGGAGTGAATTAGAAAAAGGCTTCCTAGGAAAGGCCTGGTCTAAGTACTCTCATTTTCATGTGGAATCACGGCAAATCAACCGTGGAAAGACCCTTAACCATCATCTGGTCAGTCCCTCAGCAAATCCCTCAGGTTTGAACTCCCGTTTAACCCTCCTTTCAAGTGGTTGTCTCAGAGACGCTGGTGTGACACTACTGCTTTCTTTCTTCCGCTAGCACAGTGAAACGGAGCGGGCAGCTACACAAGTTTCCATCAGTGCTATTCTGAATGGCGTTTCACTCTGCAGGAAAGTACGTGGATTGTCCACTGCTACTCAATGGTTCCGCCAGGTTTCTCAAACACTCTAAGCTTTCTGCAGCCATTCATCATGCGAGCTACAACTTAGGAACGTGGATTTTGGAAATCATTGTTAGGGGCCCCTAAACAAAAACAAAATAAATATTTTCAATAATAAATAAAAGCTTCACTTTGAAGATGCAATCGACACCTGTGTCTGGCGTGGAGCACACAACACCCTCCCTTTGGTGGATGATCCATAGGCTGGTGACATTGGCAACTGTCAACTCAGTGTAGGAGACAGAAGAGAATGCTGGGCGCGAAGCAGAGGCTGCAGCCTGCTCTCCTAAGGCAACCGGAAGCAGGGCCCTCGACCTGGACTTTCTCCTTCCGGCTTGTGTGGTGGCACTGCACACCGTTTTCTTGTTTCTGGTTCCTCGAAAGCAATACTCCTGTTTGGAGGTTGGAATCTCTCCTCCTTCCTTCAGACGGCCAACAAAGCAACAAGCTAACTGGAGGTTAGAAACCCCGGAATTCAACTGACAACAGATGAAGTCCTCTACAGGGACACAGGGATGCCAACATTTTAACTCTTTTTGGGAACACAGATCTGAATAAGTAGTCTGCATGGGCACAAAGCATGGCTCTTGCTGGCACGCACACTGATTTGAGAAAATTTTGTGTGCCCAGGGCATTTGAGGCACAGCTCACCCAAGGTCCAATGGTATCTTTCACCCTGGTGTGGTAAAATGGCAACGGTGTCATTAAAAACAAAACAAAAAAACAGGACGATGAGTATCAGACGAAAACACACCACCAACAAAATAACCAACCTTAACGTCAGTGTCTCTTTTTATAGGGAGGCCACTCATTTTTTTCATATCTGTTTCAAAAGTATCAGATCATGAACCTTCAGTGGCTAGACGATCGGAGAGCGAATCTTCCTGCAAGAAGGACAACCCTTCCGTGACCGTGGGGCTCTGGGAGCGGACTCAGTGGAAGTCTATCAAGTATTCGGGATAGATCTGGTTGGCATCAAAGACCACAAAGACCTTTGGATTCCAGGTATCATCCACGCAGCTGTCATACAAATTCACGTAGCTCCCGTCTTTGGAAGGAGGTCGCATGTACTTGGAGTCTCCGTTTATGTAGTCCCCAATGAGCACTCGGGCGAGGAACATAGATTTGTAGGTTCTGAAGAGATGCCGCTGCTGCAAGCTGACCCCGTGGATTTGGAAGGTGTTCCCATGCTTGAGGTCATCTTTGCAGAAGCGACTGGAGTACGCAGCGTCTCTAGCGAAGTAGGTCCCTTAAAACAAAACAAAAGCCCCACACAGAGCCAAGATTAGTCCTGAGAAGGCATGAAGCATAAGCAACAAGGCAGTGTAATCATCTTGGGAACAGACACATGGAACTGTGTAGCCAACAGAGATGACAGGTGCCTCATCTGCAGAGCTTTAAGAAAGGGAGAGAAATCCATCTGCTGAGGACAGCTGTGGGGCAGCCTGCCCCGGGAGCCACTGGTGGGAGGGAGCATCCCCCAGCCTCCAAATGCAGTTAACAGAACTGTTTACGAAAGAAGTCATAAAAAAAGAAACCCAATATGTAAAACAGATCAAAACACGGCTTTGGTGGCTGAGACTGTGGGAACCCTTGGCCATCCCTCCCATTTCTAATTCCTCCCCACGTTCCACTTCCTGTGCCCAGTAGGGCTCTGGGGGGCACAGCTTGAAAACTACTAGTCAAGAGAGAATATTCTAAACCCTAGAAAACGATTTCTTTAGTACAGGGTAACCAATAATATTTCTGGAAGCAATAGAACACCATCTCCAGGGCAAGAGAGGGAGCACAATGTCATTCCCATGACAGCATCCCAAGAGATCCATTTCACCGGCTCACTGCCTAAACTTGAGTAGGAACTCAACAAGGCTGCGGACAGTTCAATGGCAGGCCTCCCGGAAACATCACCCACAGAAGACTCTGCCCAGTGCTGATGGGGCTGATGTAGCTATGTTTCGGGTCCTGGTTAAATACGTAAGGTGGGAGGGCCTTTTCAACAGTGACTGAAATCAGCTGACTATTGTAAAACACAGCACATCCTGATCCTAGATGGAAGCCAGTAATTTGCTGCCTGTGAGTACAACATGGGCCAGAACAATGCATGTCTCTCCTGGGCCTTTTCCCCTCCCCCCTGTCTTCCGTCTGCTTGAGGACTGGGCCTAACACGGAGAACTTGGGAATTTCACAATGGTTAGTAAGAAGGTGAGGCTTATCCCTATTGTTCCTTATTACATAATGGTCTCATTCTTATATATCATGTTCCGCAAAGATAATAAAGCTTTAAAGTCTAGCACCTACCCCTATGCATGATGTAATTAATTTGTGTGTCCCCTCTTTCGCTATCGGCCATAAGTCAGTTTAGTGGGTAGGCCTGGGCAGGGAAAGGACACTGAATAAAATATAATGAAAAAAGCAGCTAACGTAGGCATGGTGTCACTTCTGGATGGCGGGGGGAGGGGGACCAGTTAATCGAATAGAAATATAAGTCTTACTTCCATCTTGTATATGCAAGAAGTGACTTCTCTGTGATGTACAAACTCCGAGAGGGTCTAGTGTGGTAATTTCTAACTTAATGACTACCAAATCCTGAATTATAAAACAACCTATTTTCCCTAGAGAGAGGAGATTCTCTTCCGTAACTCACATTGGACCTGCAATGCTGATAGTTACCTTTCCCAAAGAGAGCACCATGGATGCCATTTATTCTCCAATCAAAGTTATGAATGCAAATGGCTTCCACAAATTCACTGCTGGTACCATGAAACAGCATCTGTTCGTTGATCTGAGGGATACCCCTTTTTTTCTTGAGCTGAGCCTTTTTCCTAAGGATACAATACACATACACACAAAAACATACACAGAAATACGTCAGAAGTGGCACTTGTGAATTTTCATAAGAAGCAAAGTTCAATAAAAAGGGTGACATGGGAAACACTTTTCATAACATACATCTTAGTGGACAGTGCAGCCCTGGGAAACCACCACCTTACTTTCAAACGCTTCTCTTAAGACACACGCATTAGCTCAGTAACAACTACTAGTTAATGTGGAAACTTCAGGTTGAAACTCACATCTGAAAACTATAGCAGCTCTAAACTCTGTTGCACAGGAGGTAAGGGTGGCCGCTTTCCCACACCAGCTATGGTGATACACATCCCCCCCCCAATGCAACTGAAAACAATGTGAGAATATGACCAGAGTCAAAGACAGCGAGTCCCTTTGTGCAGGGACCATGTCTTCCTCTCTTTACCCCCGAGATCAGAAAACACTGGTTGAATTGAAGTTTGACTCTTAGGGCTGGGGGAGCCATTAATTAGGCCATCTAGCTCAACTCCTTTCCCAAAAGACAAGTCTTTTCAAACAGGTACAAGGAAACTCAATGAAGGATGTGCTTTCTTACAAGCAAGATAGGCCTAAAAAGAGCCTGTGATCATTACATAATCTGGTGTCAATTGGGATTTGAGAGGATAAAGAGTGAAGGGGTGGAGTCTAGTCTGTCAATCAGATCATAGCCAAGGAGGTCTCAGTGTGGGCCTGGCCTTCTCCTGAGGATTCTGGGAATTCCTGGATTTCCTCTTTAGAGGCGGGAGAGACTCTCTCTGTTCACTCCCTTGGAGACTCTCTACTGACAAGACTCACTCCCTGAGAGGTGCTCTACTGACAAGGCACATGGCACTACACTGATAGTCCCCATGCCCTGGGAGCTGGAGGAGCCATGTGGAGTCCCCTGCTAGTGCTGAGATGCTTCCATCACCACTGCATCCACAAGACTTTGCAACAATTGGCCTGTGATCTTCCTGCATTCAGCATCATTGTATGTGTTGTGTGAGTCGGAAGAGGAATTTATAGATTGGTATCAGACATAAGGGCTAATATCAGACTTATGGACTTGAACTGGACTGGGCTGGGATGTTTTCTCAATATTCTCAACATTCAATTGCTCTTGTATCTAAACCTCTTTCTTATTCACATATAAGTGTCTATTGATTTGTTTCTCTAGTCTACCTGGACTAACACAGAGGCTAAAAGTCTTTCATAAAGGAATACAGAAATATGTGCTTATATATTAAAAAAAAAGAAAGAAACTCACTGCCATTGAGGCGATACCAACTTCCAACCCTTTTACTGCAAACCTCAGAAAGTTTGTGGAAAAACTCCCTTCTCCTGTCCTTCCATTATGAAGCCCCCTCGTATGAAAGTAAAAGATCATGGACTAGATCTCCATGTGTTCAAAAAGATCCCCCTGGAAATAATGCTGACTGCAAAAAGGGAGTTCTCGGGAAAATATATAACCGAAAACAGTCCAGTACAGTGCCATGTGCTGCACATATACAAATAATGGGAAAAAAACATCAAAACAATGGATTATGGTGACTGAATGGGACTGAACTACTGAAATGTGTGACACGGGAAGTGTATGTTGGTGACACGGTTGGAAAGAAACAGACCAGCTACAATGGAACACCGCACAGGGACACGGAGGCCTGACATCAACTTCAGGAGGAAGGGAGGAGCGCAGACGGCGACGGGCAAGGCCTTCACCTCTGTGTGGAACGCTTTGGATCGTCAAAGCATCACAAACGAGGTGACACTGTCACTATGGGCACCATGAACACTTGGATTGTAAACACACGGGTGTCTGTAAACTCTTTACTGCATTTTCATGTTTAAACAAATCTATTTTTAAACATTAGAAAAGAACTTTCTTCCGCTAGGACATCTCTGATAGATCGAACAGCTGCCCCTGAATCTGTTCCCCTCAGGCCCCTCCACCCCTCCCCATGCTTTCTTTGTAAGACCCTACAATCTACTTTGCGATCGCTGTCATTTTTCAAAACACACCCATACCAAAACGGAACCCAAATCTGCCTCCCTGTTGCTTCTACTGATTGGCCTTCATTGTTCTTCTGTGAGCACAGGACAATTCAAGCCACTCTTACACATAACAAGCCTATCCAAGTATCCAGAAATAGCGATGAGCACTGCCCAGGCTTCCTTCCCTAGGGTCACTGTACAGCCCAGTCTCACAACGACTGCTCACACGGCCGGCGCCCAGGCCGCGCTCCATTGCAGACGGTGGGAGTGGACAGGAATCGGACGGATCCATTTCTAGTCTACCAGTGTTGGCAAGAAATAGAAACGGAGCGTGGAAATCCTCAGGCACCACTGGCTCCCTGGGCCCCAGCACATTCCTCTCTGTAGCAGGGACAGTGGACTACTGGTTTACAGGAGCGGCTGTCAGCGAAAGCTCCCCGGTCCCTCCGTCAGACTGCCATCAGTCAAACCAGGCTTGGTTATGTTCCTACCACTGATCTATACACCTCAGGCAGTAGATTTATTTCAGGTAAGCTTCACTCACCAGGGTAACTCAAAAAACACAAATAACAAAGTAAAATAGCCACGGCTGAGATGGGCAACATTTACAACGGCAACGTCCAGCTTCGTGAATGTGTGCAGAAACGAAGCCTCAGTTAGAGGAAGACACAAGTCGAAGTGACTCTCTCTCCAAGGCCATCGGCATCAGGTACCAAAGTCTAACACGGACAAACGTTCATCCATGGGGGGCAGTCTTTTCAGTCCGTGAGGCATGGCATCAGGAGGATGGGTATTAAACAAACACAAACTTTAGGGAGAAAAAAAAGCATGTTTTCTCAGAGAACAAGTATGCCAACTTTATCAGAATTTTATGTACAGCCTAATTTTTTTTTAAACATTGCCCATTGTTACTTTTGTAACTAGGGAATGAAAAAAAGCTTTGGGAAGAGAGATCATCTTTTTGTTTCCGCCCACTGTTGTAACCTTCCAAGGGCTGTCAGAATCCTGGCTTAGTCACACCACACATAAGCTGCCCCTTGTAACTTTGACTCTTCAGGGATGTGATAAGCAAGCCTTCAGCTTTGGAACCAAGATGCTGATAAAAACGCCGGATCAATGAGAACGCGCTGAAGGGCCCACGAGGAAAGCATCAGCGCCATTCGAGATGCTCTTTGAAGACACTTTCAACTGCTGTTCTTTTTTTTCTTTGCAGCCAATCTGATACATATTTGCCTTCATCTTATTTCCATTACGGAAAAGTTCTCATCCACCTTGCAGAAACCAAGTTGGAAGACCTCATTTGTTTGTGATAATACTGTCGATTAGTTTGACATTGGCAAATCCGTGCTGAGCTTCTTTTTTCTAAGTAGATATAATACACATACATATTTCTTTTTTTTTAAATCATTTTATTGGGGGTTTGTACAATTCTTATCACAATCCACACATACATCCATTGTGTCAAGCACATTTGTACATTTGTTGCCATCATCATTCT